AACCGTAGACTAGTTCAGCAACCGAACAGTTTAGATCAGCCTTGAGGGAAGAACGAATTCCCAGTAGAATCAGCGGTAGATGTTCGGTCCAGCGGCGGGGGTTGTCTGAAGAACGTATGGCGGCTTTCAGCTGTCGGTGAAAGCGTTCAACCAACCCGTTAGCGGCAGGATGGTAGGCGGTTGTACGGATGCGGGACGTACCCAGGAGAGACATCAGCGAGGACCACAGGGACGATTCGAACTGGGAACCACGGTCGGTAGTTAGAAGAGTCGGTACACCATAGCGGGACACCCAGGAACTCACGAAGTGGCGAGCGACGGTCTCGGCGGTGATGTCGGGTATGGGAATGGCCTCGGGCCAACGAGTGAAACGGTCGACCATTGTTAGGAGGTACGAGAACTCGTTAGACGGTGGAAGCGGTCCCACAATATCGATGTGGACGTGCGAGAATCGGGCATCTGGTTTTCGGAACTTGGCGAGTGGAGTGGTCGTGTGTCGGTGAACTTTGGTTTGTTGGCAAGCGATACAGGAGCGGCACCACGCAGCGATGTCTTTGTTCATTGACGGCCAAACGTAGCGGCTGGTGATGAGCTGCCGGGTGGTCCGGTGTCCGGGGTGAGAGAGGTTGTGGAGTGAGTCGAAAATACCTCGTCTGAACTGGCTTGGGACGAATGGACGAGCGGAGCCAGTGGAGATATCACACGTCATCGGTGTGTTAACCATGGGAAACTGGATGTCTTTGAAGACGAGTGATGTTGACGGAGGGACAGTGTGACGGAGCTTGGAGAGTTCCTTGTCGGCCCGTTGAGCGAGGGCGAGGCTGCCGAAGTCCAGGCTGGCAATGGTTGCGATGGCGTCATCGGGTAGGTCACAACGCGAGAGTGCGTCAGCTGCAGCGTTTTCCTTACCAGGGACGTATCGAAGATCAGTGGTAAACTCGGCAATGTAGCTGAGGTGTCGTTGCTGGCGAGGACTGTGTTGTTGCGAGTGGCTTCGGATAGCGTGGATCAGTGGCTTATGGTCGGTGCAGACGTGGAACGGACGGCCTTCCAGGAAATGACGGAAGTGTTTGATGGCGAGGTATATGGCTAGTAATTCTCGGCAGAACGTACTATAGCGGGTCTCGGCCGGCTTTAGCTTGCGTGAGAAGAACGAGACAGGCAGGGACTCACCGTTGATGTGTTGTTGTAGAACAGCGCCGACGGCAACATTGGATGCATCAACCATCATGCTGTAGGCAGCGTCGCAGGTCGAACAAGGTCTGGAAACTCGGCCAGGAGAGACGAATATCGGTTCGGTTGATCGGTTGCGAGGAGGTTGGCTGCAGAATCCGTGACATCGGCGGCCACTCCGTTGATGCGTAGATTGGTCGAGGAGTCCTGCAGTTGTCCCGTTGCAAGATCGACAGTCAGCTTGTAGTGGCACAGGAAATCGGCTCCGAGGATAGGGTAATTGACATCGGCGACAACGAACACCCATTTGAACGACCGACGGAGACCAATGTCAAGCTCAAGGAATTGTTGACCATGCGTTTCTATAGTACTGTGATTGGTGGCACGAAGACTAGGGCTATGACAACGTTTTACAGAGGTAGCAAAGGACGGAGGAAGTACACTTACTGAGGCGCCGGTGTCGATCAGGAAATTGATTCCGTTGACACGGTCACGCATATACAGGAGGCGACCTTCAGAAGTGGAGGTGGAGCCAGCCGGGCTAGTGGTCGCGATTAGCGGCTGGCGGTCCCGTTTCCCGACAGACGGCATGGAGATCGGCAACGTCGAGCTTTGTCACCAAACTTGGCGTGGAACCAGCAGACGTCGTCGCTATCAGTGTCCTCAATGCGTACGGCGCGGCTGGGAGAGCGGGAAGCGCTGCGTCCAGTGCGCCGATCCCGTGTTGGAAATCCCGCCGTTTTGATGGGGCAATCGTCATGTCCACGGGAGCGCACCTTGGTTAGCGCTTGTACAGTCAGACACAGCTTGTCCAAGTCCGAACGGAGTAGCGACAGCTGAGTCGTCGAGTCAGAGCTGGGGCTGAAACAAGTGGTAGCACTTGAGGCAGTTGAGCCGACTGCAGCAGTTTTTGAAGTGGCCTTTTCCGAAACTGCGTGTACTTGAGTGTTCGCTGATGGGACTGTAGACTCGGCCACTTTGTCAGCGAGGGCCGCTAACTCCTCCAGAGACAGAGTCGTAGGTGTAGCTGCTAGAATCTGACGGACAGCTGGGGGTAGACGTTGCACGAAGAGTTCCCGCAAGATAGAAGGGTCAAGCGATTTTCCTCCCAGTAGCTGCTGCATTCTGCGTAGGACCTTGCTGGGTTTGCTGTCACCGACGTCGGCGGTTGACAACAGCTCTCGAAGACGGATTTGCTCCGACTTTTGCGTCCGTGTTGTGAGTGCAGCCCTCAGCTTGGCGTAGGGTTCGTCTTCCGGTGGAGCGATCAACAGGTCACGGATCTCTGTTGCAAACTCCGGAGCTAGCGATGACACGATCACATTGTACCGTGCTCGGGAGGTGTTAATCCGGTGGTTGGAGAAGTGAGCTTCAGCCTGCGCAAACCATAACTGCGGGTCACCTGGCCAGAACGGCGGCAGTTTGAAGTTGACTGGCGCGATGGTCCTTGCGGCAGGGCCGTCTTGGGCCGGAGCGTCTGGTGGACCAGCGTTTCCAGCGGGGTTTGCAGCTTGGTCTGGAGCGGCATTAGCCTCGAGAGCGGGAGCGGGTTGCTCGTTGTCGGACATTTCTAAAAATTGCACAGAACGTTGAATCAGGTCGGAAATCGATCACGTCGGGGTCACCAATTTAGTGCTTCGCTAGATTCAACTCAGCCGTGCAACGGGTCGTGGAACACAACGTTTTATTACAACTAAGAAAGTACTAATTCAAGTTGAGTCGGAATGGAAAAGATTACGATTGATCTGAATAATATGCAAGCGAATGCAGCTTATATAGGGTAGAGAGAGAAGCGTTAGCAATTGTGCGTTGCGGTAGAAAGTGCAAGAAGGAAACGGATGTGGTCATGAGAATTGCAATTGCTGATGTAAGTACAAAGCAGTATTGCATCATGTAGGTGCAATCAGTATTGTATCATGTAGGTGCAATCAGTATTGCATCATGACATGCAAGAGAGAAAGAACATGGAAAAACGTCATACGCTCGATGTGGCAAATGGGTAATGTGTAAGTGATGTAATCACTACGTAATCAAAAGGGAAGTAACTAGAATTTGCCTATGCAATCATTGCGTAATGTCACGTGTGCATGGACTGTAGAATGTTCGTGAATATGCACTACAGTAGAAAGGTACAGTCAGACCTCGCATAACCGCACACATCCGTTTTCCACAAAAATATCCGGATAGGCGAGGGAACCGGATAATTGAACACACATACTGTATGTAAGCATGGCATATGCTGTACATTTGTAACCAACTATTTTCTTCCGAATGGCGAGGGATCCGGATAAACGAGGACCGGATAAGCGAGGTCTGACTGTACTAGGTGACAGTAGCAGAAGCTCAATCCAAAATGCTGTACGAGGTGATTTGGCTTTTTTTAACATGGTTGTAAAATCACGTTTTTTCAGCCACTTCTAGGCAAGCTACGTCCAAATGAATTGTTGCAAGTGGAAGTGCTATCCTTCATGCCCGTTGTCTCAAAAAATGGGAATGATCCCACTTTGGAAAGTGTCTTGAATCATGTCATACTTTCATAGTATTCTCAGGGTTCAAATAATTGTTGTGTCATTTTTTAACAAATTTGTAAAATGGCATCACTAACTGGGATATTCGGTCATCAATGTTCTGAAGTTGATAGATATCACTTTGAGGAATGCTAGTGGAAGAAAATTAATCTGTCAACTGCATTGTATGCTGCCGCAAAGCCGTGTTTTTGTATTTGTAACTAGTGGCTGTGTCATACGGTAGAATTGGATAGGTAGCATAGCATCGCAGCCATGTTTTCGTTCTCACAGAGTGTATTCCGTGACCTACTGTTCTTCACTGTTGTCTTTAGTGATGGCAAGACGGCCTGACGTCGTCCAAAGGCCCTGCGGAAGCAATTCACAGCCCTCCTCGTCCATTCAAGGGCTTATTTTACACATTTTACACAAAATGGCAAAGCACCCACCACTAGTTATACCGACGTGGCAGGGAGAATAAAATTATATGCACCAAATGTTCTGGTCAATGTTGATCTACGATAAACTGGCTCTCATTTGTCACCACCCATGTTTCGATACAGCCATCCGGAGCAGAGAAACAGCCAGAAAAAAAGCAAATTTTACACATTTTGTTAAAAAATGGCAAATGTTATAAAAAAGCCAAATCACTTCGTAGTCATCAGCGACAATAATCGTTGAGTTTTTCTTTAAACTCATTTTATCTCGAGCAAAATCAAAGCAAAATACCGACGGAGAAAGGAAATGCCAAGCAGAATATCGAAAATTTTGTGGCAAAATTGTGCGGCAAAATATCGCGATGTAGGCTGAGCAAATTTGGGCGCAAAAAGAAGGCAATTGTGCTGCATCAGGGAGTTGTACCCAAAAGTGTGGGTGCAACCCCCTGTGCAGCTGTGCTGCATCCAATGGCGCGGCCAAGACGAGCGCGCATAGCTCAAAATATGGACCCTGCAAGTATAGCGATCCATGCTTGGCTCCATCAATACACGGGTGCATCCATATTTGGAATCACGGATGAATATTCTAGAACTGCTAGTACCCGGTACATGCACGTCATTCTAGTTTAGAAGTGTCCAAGACGCTTTGGGAAGTACAAAGTGGCAGGGTCACGATCACGCTCAACTCGTTTGGCCCCTCGAACGATCGTGCGACCATTCATTGGCATTGCAAGATGTGTTTCCCATGCGCGAAATGAATACTGAATTAAACTTGGCGTGTTGTGAAACTCAGTACATGGACTTTTTTAAGGATTGCCTGGTGGCTCAAAAGGGACCTCCTTCTGGGAGGAAGTTCATGTATATGTGCTCGGGAAGCAAGGAAGCA